TTAGCAGCAGGTTTGCCCGAGTGGCGGTGTCAGAATCAGCCCTTGCCACATACTGCCGTGTCCTACAGGCAAGCCGTGCATCCATCACTGCGTTATTTAGTCATTCATTTACAGTCAGTTTATACCCTCTGTAGGAAACCTTCCCTACCGTCAGACGTGGTGTGGAGGTGCAGCGGGGGCCACGTGTCCAGGCTGCTGAGATGGGGGATATGGCACCGCAGGGGGACCTGACCCTGCTCGCTCCGTGCCCGGGGCAGGGTTTAGGAGGGTGCCCAGGGCAGGGTTTAGGAAGGTGCCCAGGGCAGGGTTTAGGAAGGTGCCCAGGGCAGGGTTTAGGAAGGTGCCCAGGGCAGGGTTTAGGAAGGTGCCCAGGGCAGGGTTTAGGAAGGTGCCCAGGGCAGGGTTTAGGAAGGTGCCCAGGGCAGGGTTTAGGAAGGTGCCCAGGGCAGGGTTTAGGAAGGTGCCCAGGGCAGGGTTTAGGAAGGTGCCCAGGGCAGGGTTTAGGAAGGTGCCCAGGGCAGGGTTTAGGAAGGTGCCCAGGGCAGGGTTTAGGAAGGTGCCCAGGGCAGGGTTTAGGAAGGTGCCCAGGGCAGGGTTTAGGAAGGTGCCCAGGGCAGGGTTTAGGAAGGTGCCCAGGGCAGGGTTTAGGAGGGTGCCCAGGGCAGGGTTTAGAAGGGTGCTCAGCAGGCTTTTAGGAGGATGCTCAGCAGGCATTAGGAGGAGGCTTGGCTGAGGCAGGAGCATTGCCCTGTCACCGTGCATGGGCAGGGGTGCGTGGCTGCCTCGTGTCCTCCGTGCCCACCTCCTGCAGTCCTTGAACCCCAGGTTATAACTTCACAAATGGCTTTCGCTCCTCACTGGTGATTTTGAGTCTTTGTCTCACTTTGCAACGTATAGAAAAAAATACGAGACACGTCAACAGCAAAATGCAAAAGCCTCGATGTGCTTGAAATGCTCACAGTGCCTAATTTCGATAACTTCCTATAGCACAAGCGCAAGCTGGTGGAGATTAAAGCGAATTCGCGGAGCAGAGAGGCAGGACGGTGGGTACCAGCGTCGCTGGGGAGAGCAGGTTGCTGAAGCAGGGGCTCAGGGTGATGCTCAGCACCCCAGTTTGCCATCACCCGACTCGGTCTTGCTGCTGCTTGGGCTCTTTGGAGCTGGTTTGGGCCATTCCTCTGCCAGGCTGACTGCAGCAAGCAGCCGGCAGCGGATAAAGTAGAAAAAGACATTCACAACATGAATGAAAGCTTTGACAAAAAGGAAGCGAGGGAAACTATTGTCTCCTCGGCCTTATTCTCATAATGTCTGCGTGTAATAAGTCTTTTGGTTATGCTTGTGGCTTCTGTGACAAAGCAGTGATTTAGGGGGCTGTCTTTACAGAGGCAGAGCTGCTCACGCGGGCCAAAGTGCTGGTGAGTAATATTTTACCACAAATTGTTGTAACTGGAGCTTGACAACTGCAGTAGGAAGGAGGGTGGGGGTTTGCATTTGATTTATTAGCTGACTTACTACAATTTGCAAGAGCGAGCTTTATGCGAGCGCGCCCACGAATTTGCAAATCCTGCAAGTAAAAGCCTGTGCGAGTGAAACCGGGGAGGGGAAAGCTCTGTGTTTTGCTGCCAGGATCCCCAGGGGCTGCCTGGATCGGCGGGAGGCGCGCACCCGTTGCGGCTGCAACCCAGCTTCTCCCAGTGACGGCATCTCGGGGTGCCCGGGAGCCTTTCCCATGCGCCGCCGGTGCCGTACGCCAGTGGGAACTGGGGCTCCTGTCTTTTGGTGTGGACACCAAGTATAAAAATTCTTCCTCTGGGCAGCAGCGCTTGCTTTCTCATCCTTCAAGCCAAGCCAGAAGTTAAAGGGATGTTCTCCTAAACCCGACCTATGGAGCACCTTCAAGGCGAGCTTTGAAGAGGGAGGGAGGAAGGCTGCTGCTTGGGCTTGCTGTGAAAATTCAGGTCATGTTTACTATGGGCAGCTGGAAAATGATGATCTCAGATGCTAACAAGTAACATCTGAAGGGAAGCATTAAAACATTAGAGCTGTTTTGTAAGCACCTACTTTACTTTTTTTCCAAACCCACTTCAGCTATTTTTAGAGATTCATTTGTCCTGTTAAGTACCTGATGTCGGCTTATCTAAAATAAGTGAAAAAGAACAAGAGCTTGCCCTTCCTTTGAATTTCAAATGGAAAAAAATGGTTTGGTGGGGGGTTTTGGGGTGTGGTTTGGTTTTGGTTGGTTTTTTTTTTTAAAAAAAGGACCCCAAGCCAACAAACAAACGCACTGTACAGCTTCCTTTCTGCTTCAGAAAGGATGGGTGCCTATGGTCTGAGGGCTTTCTGTCCTTCGGCAAGCCGACCTTGTGTAATTTCCTTTATTTACATTTGGCTGGCACTGGCCTCATTGACTACAAGAGTTTATACAGCCACTTTGGAGGGGAATACCAGGGCTTGCAGAAGCGGGTTTTGCCCCGCGTTGCCCTCTTATTTACTGGTACAAAGTAGATGTACAATGCTACCGAATAAAAAATAAGTATTCTTATCCTATTTTGTTCTGGCCTTAATGCCTTCATACCAGGGTAACAGAGGAGGTTGTGGGCAATTAATTTAAACCAGGTGGGGAATATGATTGAAAATTGGTTTTGCGCAGGGAGACATCTGATAGCGTTACAGTTCCATGTGCTTTTCTTTATGTCAACAGCGTGCAGCCTTCGTAATGCTTTTTTTTTGGGGGGGGGAGGTTGTTTTGAGGAAGCTGTTGCAAATAATGTTTGTTCACTGCTGTAATTGAGCCAGAGTCAAATTTGGAGACAGATTAGCTTCCCGGGATTTTGGTATTTGCGTTAAATCTGCTCCGCTTGCGTGCGTGATCACCTCTGTTCTAGGACTTCTGCAATCAGAATGAAAACAAATTGCCCTTAATACTTATATCGGTGGTGCGATGGTTCCTTCAACAAGCAGTTTGCTTGCAGTTCCTTCAACAAGCAGTTTGCTTGCAAATCGCATACATGCAGTGGTATTTGGAATTGAACAGGCAGTGTGACTTCCTCGTAGGGTTTGGCAATGCTGGGAGTTAATGGGCTAAGTGGGGACATGAAAGCTGGTGTAAAAATAAGGTTTGAGGGAGAGGAAATTGCCCTTCAGTGCAACTATCCTGCTATGGTCGCTTGATCACGAGCTGCCTAGCCTGGCCTGGAGAAAGTATTCTGCAATTCAAAGAGACGGTCAAATAATTATATGATTGCATGCTTCTTGAAGACATGAGGATAATGTTCCTAAGTGCCACCCATTCAGTTACCACTCAGAAGAAGAAAAGGCTCCTTCTAATCAGGCCTCCCCGGGTAAGGGTTTACAAGAGTACCCTTGAGGTCAGCACTAATCTACCAGCTTCCAAGCAACTCATTTAAAAGAACGTGGGATTGCCCAATTTGCAGGGTAAACAGGCTCCTTCAGGCTGAGGCAGCGGCATGTGACAGCCAGGCTGGAGAGGGGGAGCGGGGCTGGACCCTGCGGTCCTGGGGATGGAGAAGAGGGAGAGGAGGAAAGTTTCTTCAGTTGCTTTATTTAATTAAAAAAAAAAAAAAAAGGAAAAAGAAAAAAAAAAAAGAAAAAAGTTTATTGCAAAACTCAGTGTTTTAGAGTATTTCCAGAGTCCACTCGGTACGTTACAAACAGATCAGTAAATCCTGCTTTGAAGGCGTTAAAGCCTTCTTCTGGGTCTTCTGCGCCCGCACACACACATACTCACTCGCTCCCCTGCTCGTGCCACGACACAGACAGGAACAGAAACGTACTGTGAGGTCAGTGACAAACATATTATTCAATCTGTATTGGAAATTGTTGTACAAAAAAAAAAAAAATTAAATTACAGTAGAACCTCGCAAACGTGCAGAACAGGGAGCTTCCACACACACGCAAAACCTGGAGGCCTTATTCCACTTCCAAGCAGAGTTGTAATAGCAAAGTGCTGTAGTGAGGTCTCGTATCACAAAGACTTCAGTAATCTTACAATGATAGCCTACAGAACATTGACCATAATGCTTGAAGTATCATAAATTAACAATAAATAAAAAGTACATCTTAATGCAACATTGTGATTTGTTCATTTACTCACCGATTCACAAAACTCTAGTTCTCTGTAAGGGGTCTTCCAGTCCTGGGTGCAACACAGCGAGGTTCTGCTGGCCGTGATAAAGTGCTGAGGCAGAGGAAGGAGACGAGACCGGGGTCTCGGGCAGTGAGGATGAATTGCTCTAGCCACTTGGTTGTAAGAGTGCCTGGTTTTTTTTTTTTTGGTTTTTTTTTGTTTGTTTTTTTTGACATCTAAGACAGATAAAAACAAATCAAGCACCTTCCTAAAAAAGGTGGTGGGGTTGTTTTTGTTTTGTTTTTTTTCCTTTAAACAGATTGTCCCACATTTCTATGGCTGGTAAAATACAGACAGGTCAGTGTAGCAGTTAATGCATGATGCCACTTCCACTTAAACACACAGAAATGTTGGTTTGGGGTTGGTTTGTTTTTTTTTTTCCCCCCCCAAAACCAAACCAGACTTGTTTTATTTGTCCCCCTGAGTTGCCTAGAGGCGTTAAGATGCATAAAGGTGGGATAAGCAAGCTTGTGTCACCGTGAGTAGGAATCTCGCCCGTTAAGACTACATGAACAGCTAATACGTTGTCTCTTACTCCCTTCACGCCGTCAGTGGGCACAGCCACATTCGGTCGCTGATGTGGCAGAGGTTTCCTTGTGCACCTGTAAGCGAAGGTTTCGGGTACATTAAGATGTGCTGGGCCAAATCCTCCCTGCGGGGTGGGCTGGGTCCATTGGCACCAGCTGAGGCCTTATGGAAAGAGATGCTGGATCTGTAGTTTATTAATTTTTTTTTTTTCTTCCTTTTTAAAAAAACTGGGTTACCCAAGACCTACCTATTAAAAACAGCTACACTCTAAGCTGTAAGAGTAAGTTTCCCAACAATTTCACAAGCTAGCAATACAAGATAGGTATTGAAGAGATTGATGTAAAGAGAGCTTTCCGTTATGCAAAAGATGATTTTTCTTCTCCCGTTATTTAAGCTAACCTCCCCTTTAACAATCTTAGAATAAATTAATAAATACAAGTTAAATTAGAAACAGTACATCAGATCTGATTATCAACAGAAAACAGTTCTAAGGATACCCATTGGGAGAAGAAAAATGATCTTGTGAAATTATGTGCAGTAATAACTGGCCATAAAGACGTACGGAGCCTCCAATTTCCCAGCATTTGTGACGTTCAAGTTAATTAGAAGAACACTAGCAATGGTTTAAGTCAGCTATCTAGCCTAGCCTCCTCCTCAAATCTAAAACATGAGTCCATATTCTTCCAGAAGAAGACTCGGTTGGCTACTGGTGGTGTACAAAATGCTCGTCTCCAGTTCAGATCATCAGTTTCTCATCTGCGTGGAATTTGCAGTAGGGCACGGGTGAGGGCAGTCAGAGGCTGAGCTGCTTCTGCTGTTGCTGTTCTCAGGTTTTCTGGGATCAGTCAAACCTTTACCTATGCTTGTTATCAGGAAAGCGGGAGTGTGCATCACATCTTCATGCTGGACAGGAGTTATGTGGCTATCTGTATTTTCTATGGAGCTTTCCGTTGTTGGTTAAAAAAGTTCTTCCTAATAATAAAAAAAAAGTTGTTGGTAGCAACTGTTCACATTTAAAATTTCACATTCCCTTTAGAATGTATTTTTAAAACGTGGAGCAGAGCTGATGTTTTCCCCCAGTCTTACGCCGAGTACATTAGATGGAGAAGGAACAGGTTTGGTTTTGTTGTTTTTTTGTTTTTTTTTTATGCCGCGCCGTCACAGCCTTTTCCTGAATTTTCTGCTTTTCCAATATCCATTTCAATAAAGTCATCGGGTAAGTCTGGTACGACCTCCGCTGCGCCCTCCTCCGCACGCGGCTGCTGGCGCTGGCACAGCCCAGCCTTGCACGGTCTCACCAGGGACAGAAACACAGCACCCAGGACCATGCCAGCAGCACAGGAGTAAAAGGCTGAGCTGTAGTTCTGTGTCGTATCCACTAAGACACCTACGGAAAACACATTTACAGCAGTTAGCCACAACCGACTCTCCCTCTCCCTTGCCCATCCATCCCTCCTATAGGATTTTTAATCTGGGTACCACTGCATCATTCTATTTGCAATCGAAAGCTGCTCAACGGCAAATAGATGCTACCTTAAAGTAGTAAAAAAACATCGTGTTCAGGGGTACAGAGTGTCGTCTTCAGGCAAGTCTGAACCCTTCGGGCGCCGCAGGAACGCTAAGCCCAGAGATGCATCAGGCATCTGTTTATTACGGGAGAGTCTTCACCTTTCTGCCGCGTATGGTAGGAACACACGCACGGCGAGAGCGATTTGTTTCTACCGTTCGCTAGAGCCTGAAGTGATGCCAGGTTTAGGTTTCTAACAGGATCAGGGTAGCACTGCAGTATTTTCCTTCACTCCGAGGTTCCTCAGCAGAGACTGCCTCATCGGTGGGACTCTGCAGAGCTGCATTGCAGCAGTCTTCTGGCTCCAAGAGCCTCCTAGTTCTAGTTGCAGGGCTTTCAGGATAGTGTTATCATTAGCACTGCCAGAACACTTTCTAGACCAGAGATCAGCACCAACAGCTGTCAAATGTACCAAAAAAAAAATAAAAAAAAGAATTAAGAGGAAAGTTTTAGAGTTACCTGCAAGGGGTGGTCCGGCCAACCCAGCTAAGCTTTGAATGAAGACGTAGACTCCAGCCGCCGAAGACATCTTTGCGATGCCAACCACGTCGTCTTCTGCCAGGAGGGGAATATGCGTGCCCGCTACCGTTCCAAGCATGAACCCAAAAAATATGCTACATGTCATCAAGCCCCAGAATTCAGAGGCGAAAGGGAAGGCAAACAACGCTACGGACAGCAGAACAACGCAGATGAGTTCGATGTAGATCTTGCGGATAGGCTTTTTGTTGAGAACCCAGCCAGCTGAAATTCTTCCAAAGACCTCTGCGATTGCCATGGCGGACAGTATGTACGCAGAGTGGTCTTTGCCGATGCCGAGGCTGAGGCTCAGGGGGATGATGTAGAGGGAGGGAGCGAAGAAGCCCAGGGTAGCGAACAGGCCAAAGAATGCATAACAGATAAAGCTATAGTCTCTCATCACAGAAAAGTCCAGTAGTTTGGTTTTTGGTTCTGGAAGGGTGCTGTTATTTTCAACAAGGATCTGTACGTGTTCCTTTGGTTCTTCGCTTTTCGGCTCTGCTTTGGTGTTTCCAGGCACATTGCTGGGTGAGGTAGTTATTTCTACTCCTGAGTCTATGGACTCGATTGAGGTGCGTGTTTGCTCGTTTTCAAGCATGTACTTTGTCTCCGTGGGCTCTTCTGGAGGCTGCGCTTTCACTTCTTCTTGCTCTTTGATGATAATGGGTCGCAGCAGTGATCCGCAGACGACGATGCTTAGCTGCAGCACCCCGACAGAAAGGAGGCTGTACCTCCAGCCAATCTGCTCCTTCAAAGCAGTAATTGCTGAGGGAAGAGGGCAGAAGAAGAACGTGTAACTAAAAGAGCCTGTGGTTACACCAAGGCACTATCTGAATTCACAGCTCGGGAAGTAACTGAGGCTCCGTCACCCGAGGGCCCCGAGCACCGCAGCTCTTGTGGGAGCTGAGCAGGGGTCCCTCCTGCCCAGGGCCACCCGGGGGTCTGCACCCACATTCCTCCCCATCAGCTGCAGCAGACAAGAGCCAGAAGTTGCACTTAACATTGGCTAGCAGAAGCTACCCTCTAGGTAGCCACCTGTGAGGTCCCAGCGAGCCAGGGATGCACGAGGACGAAGGTGGCGTTATTTTTAAGTGAACACGAGCAAACTCAACATCCGAGTTTCCTCTCTGAGCTGACCCCACCCTGAAACCAGCTACTGGAGGAAGTCTCGCAGCTCTACCCAAAGGTGCGTGTCACTGCTTAATTACAAGCCTTCGTTTGCAACCAAAGCTCCTTTGCAATGGCTGTTAGCTGAAAGCAAGCACGCACAGCAGCAGACGACACGAACAGCAGAGGACAGGCAGTGCCAGGGACCCACTGCCTGGGGACAGGTCCCCAAAAGGCTGGAGCAGTTCAGCAGCCCGTGCTAAGCACGAGCCCACTAACCTTTAGGAGCAGTTATGTGTACTGCGTGTGGTTTAAATAGCTGAAGTTTCTTGGTCTTATTTTTAGCCCGCTAGATCTATATAGGGAGCCTGGCGGGCTGCGTATCAGCAAGGCATGTCCTGCGCTGGCAGGCGATGCTGGGGAGAGCTCAGGCATCGTTACATCAGTCCCGAGGATTACTTGTGACCCTGCCTGCAGGGCACGAGTGCCACGGGTACGTGGACAACCACCTGTGGGCTTTAGCAGGTCATGGGATGGTCCACAAGCACCCGGGTATTGATGGCCTTTGGCTCCCGTTTGCTTGCGAAAAGGATTGGAGCAGCGTTGGGCTTTAGGCATGCACGTACAAACTCATTTCGGGCACCCTACCTGGTGCAAAGGAGAAGACAGCAAAACATTCCCCTGTAGATGCCACTGCTGTGACCAGCGAACGTCTTTTGTCAAAATACTGTGATAAAATGGTGACAGTCGGGAGGAAAGAGAGGCAGTATCCAAGGCCTGTGAATAAATGCCAAAAATTGCCATAACAACAAGTAAGGGAGGGGGAAACACCGATGTGAGAACACGTTAAGTCAGCTTTCCCGGTGGTGAGATTACAGTATCATTTCGGCCAACTCAGCAAGTCACCCTGGAAGAAAACCATTGGGGAAACCAGAATGTTATTTTTTAAAATTGGAGAGGGGAAAGAAAAAAAAAAAAAAAAAGAGAGAAAGAAAACACAAACCAAGAGACCCAACCACCCAAACCTGCTAGATAATGCCTTCTGTTCCCCAACAACCAGCAGGGTCCACTTTGAGGACCTCACCTGCTTTAAGAGTTTGAGCCTGTGGCAATTGTTCCCCTAAGCGAGGCAAGCTCCCGGCCACGGGTGTGAGCAGAACACCCAGGCCAGATGGGAGAGGGGGAAAAGTATCAGGAAAAAAACCAAGAGATAGAGGGAGAGGTCAGAGGACTTGACCCCCATGAACAGCTTTCGTGTCCCCAGCGATCCCAGTCAATCAGAAGCGATCTGTACAGCTGCACTAGCACAGTGGTCTGCAGGACCAAGTCCCAGGGTGGTCCCCAGGGTGACACGGGGCAGGAGGCCAAGCCTTCAGCCCAGGTCATCACCTCTACCGGGAGGGAAGGTCAGCTCAGAAGGGGCAGCAGCGTTTCTCAAGCACCCTTGGTATTGTGGAGAGTAAAAGCCCCCATGGCCAGAGCCGCACTTGCAGGAAGCCACAGGAGCGAGCAAAGCGTTTGGCGGGTATGGGAATAGGACGACTCACCAGAGATGACGCCGATGGTGACATACATGTCCACCACCGTGCGGGCAAAGGAGGCGGTGACCATGCCGGTGCTGATCAGCACCCCTCCAGCCATCACCACGAAGCGGTGACCGAAGCGATTGCTGAGGACCGTTGACAGAGGAGCTGGATGGGTGGGAAAGGAGGAGAGCCATGGTCAACACCCAACTCAACAACTTCACCAGCTACCATCTCCTTCAGAGGCTCTTCTCATACCCTGCTCCCCGTGACATGCCACCCCCCCCTGCCAGCTGGCCTCAACATACCAGAGCATCGTCCCAGGGCCATCCCTGGAGCACTGCAAAGCTCACAGCCTTTAGGATGTGCTAAATAAAAATCACCAGAAGAGACTAAGAGGGGCACATGGCAGCCTGGGACAAACCCGCAGCAACGTCCAGAGACACCAGTGGATTTCAGTGGGGCTCAAGTTACTTCTAATCCTTTTCACTACAGAGTTAGGTTTCAAAATTCTTCGTTTTCACCCCCTGCTGATGAGAGCTAAACATCCAGGCCAGGATCAGTGACACGGACCATGTCCCTGTACCATGCAGAAGGACATGAGATGGGGCTCAAAGGGGCTGCCAGGCCGAGACAGACATTTCTTGGTATTTTAGGAGCATGCAGCCTCGGGGCTTTATGGCTGTTCTTTATAACGGAGCCATTAGAGACACGAAAGACCTGGGTCCCAGGTCCCCAGGTGCTGAGTCAGCAGTACAACTGCCCCTTGCACTCACACCCACCGCCTGTTCCTCTTACCTGTGAAGGTCTGTACAAACACACAGATGGATATTATCCAGGATATCCTGCTGTTGGTTTCATCAAAGCTCTCCATCAGGTCATTAAAGAAGACGCCAAATGATTTTATAATGCCGTACGTTAGAGCTTCCACAAAGAAGAAAGCAAAAGCAATTGTCCAACCCCATCCTCCGTCAGGCACTTTAGTATAAACATTTGGAGCGCTGCACGGCATTTTTACAGCTTTGACAGTCATTTTTTGATCTGAAAAAGAAGGGAGGAAAGAACCAGGCATCAGTTTAAGGTGAATTTTGCTGAGAGGCACAGCCTAGCAGCTGTAGCCCCACTAAGGCACAGCCTAGCAGCTGTAGCCCCACAAAGGCACGGCTTAGCCGGTCTCTGTGCTGCCCAGGGACAAAATGCAGGAGTTGGGCTGAAGTTTCTGCCTTGCTCACCCCACCGGGCTCATTTCTGCTGCTGCCCTTTAAGCCCAGGAGCAGAAACTCTCTGCTCGGCACTTGGGCGAGCTGTTCCCATCAGCAAAACCCAGCACCCAGGAGCTGTTATCTGTATTTTGGTGCATGGGGGTGGATGGATGCAGTTCACGAAAGATCCACGGCAGGACCCAGCGCGGGCTGGAGGAGCCGCAGGAACTCCCCAGGAGCACCTGCCCTCCCCACCGCACCCTCCTGCCTGGCCCAGGGTGGCCAGTGACACCCCGCTGCAGGGTCGGTCAACAATACAGCCCACCCTCGCACCCTGCGGTGTCCTAAACCCACCCAGCAGCCGCTGGCACTCGGGGTGACTGTCACTCCTGGGGAGCCTGCCCGTTCCCCAAAATGGCTGCTCCAGGGCTACCCCACAATGCAACAGGGGGTGGGGACACCCTCACTGCCACCAGCTCCCCTGCAGCCTTTGGGGTCACCGCCACCCCGCAGGGCAGGAGGAGGCTGCAGCCCGAAGGGCTGCCGGGAGGCTAGAGGGGGGTCACCCCGTAAGGCACAGGGGGGGGGGGGTCTCTTCAGACTGGCTCCAGGTCACCCGGGGACCACGGATGCGCAGGAGCAGTTTTTGTCCTGCATGGGTCTCCTCGCCAAACCCAGGCACCGCTA